TGTGACAACTCCCACTTTGGAGTGGGATTCTTTATCTTTTAACTCCATGCCTCTTGCCAAGCCCCTCGCATTTACTTCTCTTACAACCCCATCTAAAAATATATTAAACAACCAGGGTGACATCACACATCCTTGTCTAAGGCCAACTTTTACTGGGAAATAATTTCCCTCTTTCCTACATACTCTAACTTGAGCCTCACTATCCTCGTAAAAACTCTTCACTGCTTTCAGTAACCTACCTCCTAAAACCATAAACTTGCAACATCTGCCACATTGCCCCCCTATCCCCCCTGTCATACGCCTTTTCCAAATCCATAAATGCCACAAAGACACCTTTACCCTTTATCTAAATACTTTTCACTTAATGTTTCACTGTAAAAAACCTGATCCACACACCCCTCCCTTTTCCCTAAAGCCTCCTTGTTCATCTGCTATCCTATTCTCCGTCTTACTCTTAATTCTTTCAATAATAACTCTACCATACACTTTACCAGGTATACTCAGCAACTTATCCCCCTATAATTTTTGCACTCTCTTTTATCCCTTTTGCCTTTTACAAAGGAACTATGCATGCTCTCTGCCAATCCCTAGGTACCTTCCCTTTCCATACATTTATTAAATAATTGCCCAACCACTTCCAAAACTATATCCCCACCTTTGCTTTTAACATTTCTATCTTTATCCCATCAACCCCGGCTGCCTTATCCCCTTTCATTTTAACTACTGCCTCACGAATTTCCCCCACACTCACAACAGGCCTTCCTCACTCCAACAAGATGTTATTCTCCTTGTCCTATACCGAAATCACTGCTTCCCTATCTTCATAAACTTTTAAAACAATTCCTCAAAATTTTCCCTCCATCTTCCCAATACCTCTAACTTCCATTTAAAAAACTCTCCTCTCCTATTTTTACTGACAAATCCATTTGTTCTCTAGGCTTTCTTAACTTGTTAATCTCACTCCAAAACTTTTTCTTATTTTCAACAAAATTTGTTGATAACATCTCCCCCGCTCTCTCATTTGCTCTCTTTTTACATTGCTTCACCACTCTCTTAACCTCTCTCTTTTTCTCCATATACTCTTCCCCTCCTTGCATCACTTCTACTTTGTAAAAACTTCTCATATGCTAACTTTTTCTCCCTTACTACTCTCTTTACATCATCATTCCACTGTCATTTCGCCCTACATTATATCTTGTATACTTATTTATCCTCTTTTTCTTAAAATATGTATTACCTATAACTAAACCCCTTTCTATACAAAGTTCAATCAAAGGGCTCCCATTATCATTTACACCTGGCACCCCAAACTTACCTACCACACCCTCTCTAAAAGTTTCTCCTACTTTAGCATTCAGGTCCCCTACCACAATTACTCTCTCACTTGGTTCAAAGGCTCCTATACATTCACTTAACATCTCCCAAAATCTCTCTCTCTCCTCTGCATTCCTCTCTTCTCCAGGTGCATACACGCTTATTATGACCCACTTCTCGCATCCAACCTTCACTTTAATCCACATAATTTTTGAATTTACACATTCATATTCTCTTTTCTCCTTCCATAACTGATCATTCAACATTACTGCTACCCCTTCCTTTGCTCAAACTCTCTCAGATACTCCAGATTTAATCCCATTTATTTCCCCCCACTGAAACTCCCCTACCCCCTTCAGCTTTGTTTCGCTTAGGGCCAGGACATCCAACTTCTTTTCATTCATAACATCAGCAATCATCTGTTTCTTGTCATCCGCACTACATCCACGCACATTTAAGCATCCCAGTTTTATAAAGTTTTTCTTCTTCTCTTTTTTAGTAAATGTCTACAGTGTAATACGGTGACCAAAACTGTACAGCATAATTTAGATGTGGCCTTACCAAGGATATATAGAGTTGAAGAACTAACTGAGGACTCCTAGTATTTATGCTTCTTGATATGAAGCCAAGGATTCTGTTTGCTTTATTGCAAACACTTATGCACTGTTGCCTTGGTTTCAGATTGCTGCTAACCAGAACTCCCAAATCCTTTTTGCAATCAGTAATATTAAGATCTATGTTATTTAGTTTATATGTGGCATGGTTATTTTCCTGTCCAATGTTTAGAACATTGCATTTGTCTATATTAAACTGCATCTGCCACTTCTTCAACCACTGCATCAGTCTATTCAAATCTTCCTGGAGTGCTCTCATGTCCTCGTCAGAATGAATTCAATGGCCTATTTTGGTGTCATCGGCAAACTTGCTTATGTCACTTTTTATTCCCTCATCTATGTCATTTATGTAGATTGTGAACAACAAGGGGCCCAACACTAACCCCTTACTGAAGTCCATATACACATTATCATATTCATTACCATGATCTACCTCCTCAAATGCCTTAGTGAAAAAGTTAATAAATTCATAAGGCAGGAACACCCCTTTGTAAAGCCATGCTGAGATTTGTTGATTAATTTGTGCTTTTCCAGATGGCTACGAACTGCCTCGGCAATTATTGATTCCATAAATTTTCCCACTATGGAGGTTATGCTTATTGTTCTATAGTTTGAAGCTAAGGACCTGTCACCTGCTTTGAAAATAGGTATCACATTTGCAATTTTCCACTTATCTGGCACCTTGCCAGTTTGTAGTGATATGTTGAAAAGATTAGCCAAAGGTTTGCTAAGCTCCTCGTTACATTCCTTCAGAACCCTTGCGTACAGTTCATCAGGGCCTAAGGATTTGTTAGGTTTTAATTTATCTATTTGTCTAAGGACCATGTCACTTGTGACCTTAATAGTGCATAGTTTACTATCATCCTGTTCTACATAATTAATTATTTATGGAATATCGCTAGTATCTTCCTGTGTAAAAATTGAGAGGAAGTATGTGTTAAAAATTCTACACATTTCCTTATCACTGTCCGTGAACTGACCTGAGCAACTTTTGAGTGGGCCTATCTTGTCCCTGATCTTACATCTGTATACATGAAAGAATCTTTTTGGGTTAGTCTTCGATTCCCTTTTTTATTTCTCTCTCTAACTGAATATGTTGATTTCTTAATTGCCCTTCTCCTCTTTTGATTTGCCTATATATGCCTCTATTTTGACCAATGAGATGTTTTAATCTATTGTTCATCCATTTAGGATCATTTTTGTTTGATCTGATTTCCCTATTTTGAACATAAGTTGTCTGAGCAGCTAGAACAATACTCTGGGAAACGTCATATCGGCAATCATCACCACCTACCTGACCCATAGCAGGTCATTCCAGTTCAGCCCACCCAAGTAATTTTTCAGTCCTATGAAATCAGCCAAACGGAAGTGAGGGACAGAGACTTGATTGCCATTATTAGAGTAATTCCATGATATATTAAAACTGAGTGATTTGTGATCACTTTCCCCAAGCTCATCATTAACCTCAAGATTATTAATTAGCATTTCCCTGCTGGCAAGAACCAAGTCAAGCAGGTTATTTTCTCTAGTTGTTTCTCTCACCAACTGTTTTAAAAAACAATCGTGAATCGTATCAAGAAAGTCGCTTGACTCTAAATTTCCTGTCAAAATAGTCCAGTCAATCTGTCTATAGTTGAAATCTCCTATTAGCTTAATGTTTTCGTATGTAGATGCCTTACAAATTTTGTCACATAGAAGTTCACTGCTCTCCCTATGAAGATTAGGGGCCCTGTAAATCACACCCAAGATTAGTTTTTCACGGCCCTCGAGAAGCTGTAATCAGATTCAGTGGCTGACGCTTCTAATTTTATATCTTGTCTAACACAGTTTAAATTGTCTCTGACATACATCTCTACTCCACCACCCTTCCTGTTGACCTTATCTGTGTGGAATAATTTATAGCCTTGTATGTGATATTCAGAAGGCCTCTCTCTATCCATGTTTCACATGGGTTATTATCGAGGTTTTTTTGATATTTCCTCAACCACTTGTGGTGACATCCATCTCAGAGCCACTAAATTCGGGGTCAACATCATTTTCCTCTTAAAATGGGAGTGTTAATACTACATGACACCAGTGAATCCTAGGTGTTTTCCACACTGTTTGCTCTAGCTGGCAGTCCTTTGAACTGGTGCTCCTGCAAGGTACTAACTGGTCCCAGATTTGTTTAATACTGCGCACACCAAGTGTTAAGACCCATTCTATACTGACCAGGCATCTCAGGCCAATCGTGCCAAATTTAGAGGCAGGAAAAATAAAACACAGATCTATGTTTGGGGTGCTAACAGTAGGAACATAGATCTACGTTTGGGCAGTTAAGGGGTTAACAGATGTATTAATATCATGTTCATAATGACCCATGCATGTAAGGGGAAAACATTAAGCTTAGTATTGTTGTAGTTTTTACCTTCATTTGTGTGTGAATAGTGGATGATGATCAGAAAAATTTGTGACCTGGATTTAATTGATCCTCATGAACATTTTGCTTAATAGTGTGTGGCGGTAAAGCGAGATGTGAGCAGCAAGAGTGAGTGAGCCGCTTTGTCTGTTTAACATGGCAAACACGGTAGAATTCTTTACGCTTCATATATTCAAATATTAAGTTGATTCTAATTGTGGTATCTTATATACAATTACACTGTTACATTTTCACTGTTTAAGCAGTCCTTTTTTTTATTTTACTCAAACTGTTTTATCACTGAAATTTCACTGCATCAAACTAAAGAAAATTTGGATTAATTTTTTTTTATCATATCAGATAGGTTTGCAATATTTCTGCATGTGTTTTGCATAAATTGTTCCAGTGTCAAATGAATAATTATACCTTATCCTGGTAGTGTTTTTTTTTTTTTCAAATACTGCATTTGTTCATTGAGAAATATGATAAAATGCCCAAACGAAAGATAGCTCATTCATGTTACTTTATTACAGTAGTACTTTATGAATGTAATGTAATTGATAAGTATTTCAAGACTATTAAATGTAATTTCTGTGGAATGTTATTCACTGCAGCTTAGAGGGACTCCATGCTGCATTCCACTCATTGAGATTTAGCTAGGGAAACTACTTATTAATTTGTGTATGCTTTCCCTGAACAGGTTGGCATGTTTCCATCTAACTTCGTAGAAGATATCGGTGATGAGGAAATCACGCCTAAACAGACCGAGTCAGACCTTGAAAATATAAATAATCAGCTTAACATCAACAGTGATGGAAAAGGTATGGTTCACCTCATAACAATGTAGTATGCTAGGAACTATCTTATTAATGCTTTTAAATTTAGGAACAGAATCACAATAGGGAAAAGTGTACAGTAGGGTTATAATTGAAAGAATTAGAGGTAAGACAGAATGTAGGATTGCAGATTAGCAAGGAGGTTTCAGAGTGGGCAAGGGATATGTAGATCGTGTTTACATTGAAGCATATATGTGAACAGTATTTAGATAAAGGTAGGGAAGTTTTTATTGCATTTATGGATTTAGAAAGGGAAAATGATAGAGTGGAAGGGGGGCAATGTGGCAGATGTGCAAGTACTATATGGGAAAAGGTGGTAAGTTTGTAATGAAGGTTTGGTAGAAAAACCGACAATATGTAAAGTAAAAGGACACAAGTGCAACTAATGTGACATTTTATTGTGGCAACGTTTCGCTCTCCAGGAGCGAAATGGCTTGATAAAGCTCCTGGAGGCGAAACGTTGCACAAAAAAATGTCAATTATTGCACGTGTCTTTTACTTTAAAGGTTAAGTACTAAAATCTTAAAGAGTATTTTAAAGAGGAAAGTGAGGCTCAGGTAGGTGTAAGAAGAGAGGAGACAGTTCCCATAAAAGTAGGTCTTAGACAGGGATGGTAATGTACGTGGTTGTTTAATATATTATAGATGGGGTTGTAAAAGAAGTAAATCTAAGGTGTCAGAGAGGGGTAGATTAAATAGGGAATATAAATGCAAAAGGAATGAACAGTTCTTTTGTGATGATACTGGGCTTATGGGATCTAAAGAAAATTGCAAAGTTAGTGATGATTTGGAGTGTTGTAAAGGTAGAAAGTAAAGTGAACATAAAAAGAGTAAAGTGATGGGGTATCAAATGATTAAAAAAAAAAGAAAATTGGGGAGGAGAAAGGAAGAAGTGAATGTTTTCAGATACTTGGGAGTTGACGTGTCAGTGGATGGATTTATGAAGGATGAGGTTAATCATAGAATTGATGAGGGAAAAAAGGTGAGTGGTGCATTGAGGTATATGTGGAGACAAAAAACGTTATCTATTGAGGCAAAGAAGAGAATGTATGAAAGTATAGTAGTACCAACACTCTTATATGGGTGTGAAGCTTGGGTTGTGAATGCAGCATTGAGGAGGCAGTTGGAGGCAGTGGAGATGTCCTGTCTAAGGGCAATGTGTGGTGTAAATATTATGCAGAAAATTTGGAGTGTGGAAATTAGGAGAAGGTGTGGAGTTAATAAAAATATTAGTCAGAGGGCTGAAGAGGAGTTGTTAGGTGGTTTGGTCATATAGAGAGAATGGATCAAAGTAGAATGACATGGAGAGCATATAAATCTGTAGGGGAAGGAAGGTGGCATAGGGGTCATCCTTGAAAAGGTTGGAAGGTAGGAATAAGGAGGTTTTGTGGGCGAGGGGCTTGGACTTCCAGCAGGCGTGCATGAGCGTGTTCGATAGGAGTGAATGGAGATGAATGGTATTTGGGACCTGACGATCTGTTGGAGTGTGAGCAGGGTAATATTTAGTGAAGGGATTCAGGGAAACCGGTTATTTTTGTATAGCTGGACTTGAGTTGTGGAAATGGGAAGTACAATGCCTGCACTCTAAAGGAGGGGTTCGGGATATTAGCAGTTTGGAGGGATATATTGTGTATCTTTATACGTATATGCTTCTAAACCGTTCTGTTCTGAGCACCTCTGCAAAAACAGTGATTATGTGTGAGTGAGGTGAAAGTGTTGAATGATGATGAAAGTATTTTCTCCTTGGGGATTTTCTTTCTTTTTGGGTCACCCTGTCTCGGTGGGAGACGGCCGACTTGTTAAAAAAAAAATGACAATATGTAGTTTTGAAGTTAAATGAAATAAACGAGCTAGCATCTCACAAGAAGGTGGTTAGTGGTGTACTGGTAGATAGCATTATTTTGCAGGTTTGTAGTATATAAACAGTGAGTTTTGATGTGCATTAAAAATTAAACATTTGACAACAAGAAATGAGGAATACAGTGTAAATGTATTCTATTTGTCCTATATGTCTTCTTTGTACTTCTGTACATTCAGTCTTTTCATTTAATATTTCAAATTCAGATATAGATCATTTATATGAATAAACCAAAAATGATGTATAATGTTGGAGTGTGACTTTGTCAATGGTCCAAGTCGGACCGAAACGTCGTCGTAAGCTTCTGTCTTTTATGTGCGGGTTATTTGTGTATATATGTAATCTGGCAGATAATTGCATATTATGAACAAGGCTTAACATTGGTAATTATGAAGATTTCTGATTACAAGTATGTACACAACTGGTATTAATTTAAGGCAATAACAGAGACTATGTGTGCACACTAAGTGAGTGACAAATTGTTATTAACATCAGTGCGTTAGAGTACATGTAATACTCTCACTACAGTACAGTATAGTATATTATTTTAGAATTTATATGTTATGTAGTTTGATGCAATATTTCTTACTTCAAACCTATGTTATGTAATTGGCTCTTAATCTCATTTGTCTGTTCTAATATGATTTTTGTGAGGTAAAATGTTGCTGATGCTTCTTGTAATGTGGCTTAATGTTAACAAATTGGCATAAGGTACCAACACACTGAAGAAAAGGACATGTGTGCAAACAATAGTAATTTAATTTGGGGTTTTATAATATCTGAGCCCCTGTTCTTTCAATAAAATCACAAGTGTTTGCACACCAGACCATAAATATAGTTACAGTAAAAAGGAATACTGAAGTGTATATTCAAAAGTGACAGTATGGTCATCAGGATTGTAAGCTCTAGGAAAGAGATGTGCCTTTAAACGAGACTTAAGAGTACATGAAACACATCATATATGTATATAATAGAGGTATCAGATGTGGTTTGGATAAATAAGTGTTATATCAAATTTAGTCATCTTGGAAATGGTTACTTGATTGCTGTGTTATGATGTGGGCACGGCCACTTCAGATATAGTATTGTGTAGGCTAGAGGATATATTTTAGCTGCTGCTTTTCTGTTCACTGATGTTGGAATAGTGATGAGAAAACCTTCCAAATATAGACACCTATGTGGTTTAGGTTCACAAAGAATTGCATAGTGGTATTATCAAAACCAGTAAGGTTGACCTCTGCTGCATCTAAGCTTAACATCGTCTGCAGTGTTAGTAAAGGAAAAGTTTTCATTGCTGACTCACATTGTTGCTGAGTTACACTATATAAAGTGTAATCAAATTGTTTCCTATCTGCTTATGGTAACCATGTAGGCAAATCATCCAGGTTGTGATGGATATGTGGACTATCGGGTCACCAGATGAAACAGCCTTGTTGACCAGTCAAGTAATAGATGAACCTGGCTCAAGACAGGGCTCTAGGAGTAAAAAACTAACTCTTGAAACTCATCAGAGGTACATCAAAGGCATACTTCTAGGTGGTACAGACTAGGACAGTACTGTCTGCAGTTTACTCAGACAGTTTATTTACTTTCTTAAGTTTTCATTGTGATTAAGGACTTTATAAATATTGGTACGAAAGGAAAGGATGGGTGTCCTGTATGTTCAGTTAAAATTGCATATAGTTCTAAGGCACTTTAATGTGCCTTTTTTGTAGTGAACAATTTCACATTGTGTTGATTTGAATGACAATTAAAATTTTTTGTGTAGGCATCATAATTCAGGTTTTCACAGGTTGTGCAATGAATGTGTACTTTGAACAGATGTTCTTTGTGAGGGAAGGAATTCTGACTTTATGGGTTATTGTTGGACAGTGTTTCTGTCCAACAATAACTCATGAAACTGTAGTAGGTGCTGTTAGTGATAATGTTGATAATATTTTGAATCATTTTGTTAAAAAGCTTAAATAGGTGAATGAGAAGCTATCTATCCTTAGCAACAAGTTGCAGGGCCCTGTTGTTTCTCCTCAATCTTATATTGATGATGTTAGGAAGGGCATCAAAAAAGCAGAATGAGGGAGAGGAGTAGATGCATGCTCAGATGGCACCTGACATTAGGATTAATAAGTATGGAATGAACACTGTGGCTCAGAATCAGCAGGTTCTGATTGTCAAGCCAAAACCCAGCATTCCAGTGGACAACATAGTGGTCTCTTGAATTATGATGGGCTGGAGTTACGATAATTTGCTGAGTTACGACTTGTCCTCATAAAGGAATTGAATTGTGTTTTTTTTTTTTAGCAAGTCAGCCATCTCCCATTGAGGCAGGCTGGCTCAAAAGAAAGAAAAATTTGAGATAAGATATGCATTTGTGATTTAATTATGCCATCTTTGGTGTTACCAAGTCATGGCCCTTAAGGCGCACAGTAAACAGGCAGTTTCTCAGAATATCGAACAAGAAATTGTAAAAATTGTGATGTAGGAGTTAGAATAGCACAATGGTGTGAGTATAGTTTTCCACAACCAATCATCTCTACTAATATCCAGCATAAGGACATTATATAGGATATTAAAGTGGCTGACGAATTTTAGCTAGTGAAAAAAGCAGAGAAATTATCATAGTGATGGAAAGACTGCTGTTATTGTGGATAAAAGAGAAGCAGATGAAGGGAGATACAGTGCCTGCAAGTTACATCTGTGAGCATGCAAATCCAAGGTGTATTAAAAGTTGCACTTCTGTATTTTGGGGTTTGAGTTACAATAGTTTTGAGCTGCCATACAGTTCATCTTCTGGAAGAGATTAATATCATAACACAAGGGACCACTGTTCAGTTGTTGGCCATATAACTGATTTAATTCAGGAATTCTTAACATTGGTTTCAGTAAAGAAGGTAAGGGAGACAAAAAGTCGTGCCTTATTGCTTAGTTTCCCAACTGCTGAGGTGAAGCAGTGGTGGGTGTTCTGTTTTCTTGTTCAGATGAAGAAATTGTTTGATACTCTTGATAAGAATGCAGAAATCAAGGAACTATCTGAAAGAGGTTGTGCCCTTAGCATTTATTTTTCAAAGGTTAAGGATATTAGCAGGGTGGCTAACCTTCAGTGTTCTCATTTCATAGTATCTGGTATGTTA